ACATAGTCTCCATAGAGCACTTTAATTCATATCAAAACTCTTCTATTTGCAAAATTAAACACATATTCGTACATCTCATCCAGCAAGGAATACAACAAAATAATCAGAAAATAAAACAGAAAACATTCATATTTTGCCTGTTTCTCCTAGGGTTCTCTTAGGAACCCATAGAGCACTCTAATTCATACAATAAACATTTAACATAATACAATTTACTCATATAATTGCCTCTTCAAACAATCTCCTCTTACAATCATCAATGCATTCCCTTAAGGTTTCCCATAGGAACCCATAGGAACACCAAAGTCTGCAATTATAATCCAAACACAAACACTACTCATACATACATACTAATTACATCAATTAGAACATTCAGGGAGAAACTGGGATGAAATAGATACAATTGGGAAAAACTGCTCATATATGAGCATACAACAAACATAGGATTGGGGGCCAATCCCACTACCCGACATACATTCCCACACTTAGAGCGAGGTTTCTCACTCCCCCCTTACCTGGATAAGCAGAAGACGAGGCTAGAACAGAATCTGGTTGATCTTCTTCTCTTGGTTCTCCTTGGTCTTAAGAGAGTGTGTCTAGGAGTAGTGCTAGAGTCTGCTATTTATAGATGTCAGGAGTGGCCAGAATGGCCCATTTTGGATCTGGAATGGCCCGTTTTGGACTTATTTATCATGTGTAAAATTCACATCTAGAACAGCCCGTTCTTAAACCAAAATGGCCCATTATGGGGTTGCGTTTTAACATATAACGGTCATGTTTGGAGCGACCCATTCTTAAACCAGAATGACCTGTTCCCAACTAGGGTTATAGGCCTTTTCAGTAGTTTGGAACGACCCATTCTAGTTTTGGAATGGCCTGTTCTGGGCTACTGAATCACCCTTATTGATCTTTGAGCCTTCGTATAATCTATGAAAATTGGGGTGTTATAATTGAAATCCATGTACACCCTCCAATAGAAATCCTTGCCTAATTCAAAAAGAGAAATTGGGGGGACGCTGCAGAAGTGGGTGGCTTGCCGAACTGCATGCATAAAGTCGGCCTCATGCTCCACGATGATTTTCTTCTCACACTCGGTCCAAAAATTTTCGAGAGAGGCTTCAATGTCGGCCTTGAGCTTAGCCTCCAAGGCTAGGGCTTCCTCAATCTTCTGAACCCTCATCTTCTTGGCATCTTCATGCGCTAGGGCTCAGCCTTCCATCTCACTGAGGGCCTCTTTCAATCGAGAAACATTGGCCTCTAATTGTAACTTCTCGTTCAAGGTTACTTCATGTGCCTCGACTGAGTGTTTGAAAGTCGTCCTCGTCTCTTCTAGAGACTTGCGCAGTTGATGGGCATCGACCATGGGTTCCAAGGCAAGCTTCCGAAGAATCGTCGTTGCCCGCACCTGCAATTCACACGCCATTGCCCATTGAAACGAAGGGGTTACCGACTCCAACATGCGGTGACCATTCACAAAAAGTAGATCTGAGGACATCATCCTCAAAGGCCAGATCTCTGTTGATAGGAAATCCTTGGACATAATAGCCGAAGGGATAGCTAGGTCCGTAGAGGGACCCTCAGTTCAGAGATGCTTTGGGCGAGGAGGCTTTGAGGCCCCAACATCAACCTTTTGCTTCCCCTTGTCTTTTCTTTTCATCTCGTTGGGATTGGGCAACGCTACATCTCGGGGTGTGGGACGTGGCTCGGCATAAGTAAGCACTTTGTCAATGGCCACACTTTGATGATCTTTGGTCGAGGTGCTGGCCAGAGCTCAGTTGCGCACAACATGATGATTAGAAAGCCCGATACCCTTTTGCGCCATCCAACCTGCAAAAAAAGTCAAAAGTCACACATCAACTTAACATGAATGTCTTAAGCAACAAACCTGGATACACACCCTCTAAGTCAAAACGAGGCCGAGCGGATTTTGGAAAAAACACTAAAAATTGACCCGAAATCTCTCGTGGAAAGGAGTTCAAATAGGTCAAGTTAACGAACTCTTTCTGACTTAACATCTCAACCGTGAGCTCGTCATACTTCTGAGGTACCCGCGTCCAATAGAATGGAAACAATGGTGTCCCTTGACTATCATAAAAATAATTCCGATCGACTACCAAAATGATTATTACTTTTATAAAGCCCGATTTGAAACCCTTGAACGATGACGTAAATGGTTTAAAAAGTGGCCGATCCACGTGCCTTATTAAGGAAACCCATCACGGTCTTATGTGAGGGGCGTGTACAGAAAAAATGCAAAAACAAGCTAACGGTAGGCTCAATATAATGGTATCTACAGAGAACCCGAAAAGCTTGCATGGTCGCCCACCCATTCGGGTGGAGTTAGGTTGAGGCAACATTCAATACTTGGAGTACACCCATCTAAAAGTCGTCCAAAGGAAGAGACACACCGAGCTCTTTGAAGAAGCACTCGTACATGTAGAAAAAACCCCCTTGATCTTCCCACTTCACAAGAAATACCAAGTCAGTTTCCTCGGGCCCCTCGGCTCGGCAATGATGGAGCATAATCAGATATGGATCCAGATTGTCCCATCAAGCCAACCGACACCTCTTCAATAGACACTCCACGGCGACCCTCTCATAAAAACACGAGAAGCAGGCCGCCACCTTACCATCCACCCATTCATAGCTCAGAACCTCACATGGGGGAAACTTTTATTTGAAGTCCAGAGGACCCATCTCGGCATCGGGAAAATTAGACCCCAAATTGTCCCCTAACGAAGTAGCCTCAGTACTATTCCTAGTCCACTTTGACAAATCCTCAGATAACTCAATTTTAGAAACATTGGTCAAGCCCCCCGCACTAGACGAAGACCCATAAGACAACATTATCTCCTCAATGGCCATCGCTAACCTGAAGAGATCCAAACGAACACACACATACCTACCTTAGCTAGTACTCGGAGAAGGGTTCTGAAACAAGACATTGGGGCAGAGAGTTCGAGTAGTATAGGCACATACCCCCCTTCATACCCCACATCTATATATAGACCACCAAGGGGCATGTGAGGAGGCCCCTCATAAATGCGTTTGGCATATGAAAAGCCAATAGACATATCCCTTCACAAATATCAAGACGTGAAACCCTAAGACGGTGCATTCTTGAGTAGTCACATCTAACTCCGGGGAGACACGACTCCCAAAGACGAAAACACATCATGTGTTAACCACTGCCCCAACCCTTCAACCTGACAACCCATTCGGCTTAGAGGGCAACTCGAATAGTCACAAAATTACTCAACCCAAGGCAACACCATCGACCTCTAACTTTACAAACCCCTTCATCTTACACCCTTGGGCTTAGGGGGGTAGTGTACTGGAAAGGCATACACATACCCCTCGGCCACTACTAAAACTGAATACCCATTCGACCTTTAGCATAGGCTGAAGGGTAACTAAAGGAAAGGTGAGACTCCACCAGAACCGAACACCCCATTCGGTCCTAGTTTAAGTCGAAGGGGTGACCAAAGGAGGCGAACCAGGACATTCCAAGGAGCATTAACGATATTCGATCAAGAGCTATGTCAGATACCCCTTCAGTCGAGGGATCAACCGAAAAGGTGCTCGACACCTTAAAAACTGGACCGGAGACTATAGAAGAAGAGATTAGATAGTAATATCCATGTCAAATCAACATTAAGGTTAAATTAGGGTCTAAAAGCCCTAATTACCCATCCTCCAAGACAAAAGGCCCATCAGACCCAAATACGTCACTATAAATATACCTCTGATGGGAGAGGAATAGGTACGATCATTTAATACTATAGCCTTTATTGTTCTGTACCAAATACTCATTTGAGCATCGGAGTGTCTTTGCAGGTACCCTCCCTACTGCTTAGAGCAAAGAATTAGTCATCTCATCAAACTCAGAAGACTAGTCGTTAGGAAAGCCAATAGGAGTGTTTCTTACAAGAACACCAAGCATCTCAAAGCTTCCCAATGATTCTTTGCTATGAATTTCACATTTTATTAAGTGATTATATTTTTAAAATAAGCATAAAACAATTAAAAATGACTTGCAGTTAGGAAGAAATGGATTACTGATGTTTATATCTATGGTAATAATAAAAGGATTATCTCTATTTGGTTTTCCACCATTTTATACCAATTTTACTCATAATAACCATTAAAAAAAAACCAAAATCTGTCAAGAATATTAAAACCATAAAAATGATCAATTTGTTGGATTTTTAACAAAGGTATGGAGTATCTTTTACCTAAGGCTAGAAATGAATTGAGCTTGAAATGAATTGAGTTGAGTCAAGCTAAGTATGATTTGCCTAAGCTTTATTAGATAATATTTGACTCAACTTGCAATTCATATGACACCCTTCTACTCAAAAATTATAATAAGTGATTTTACTAAAAATAATTTTATGAAAAAAAATTAAATTATGGTCATTTCAGTAAAAGGATTCACAAAACATTTATAAAATAACACTCTTAAAATATAATTAGTCTCTCAAAATAATCAAGGTACAATACAGCTCTCCAATTACATGAAAATTCTAGCAAGATTAAAGTCATAAAAATTAATAAAATCTAAACTAAAGGAAACATAAACGCTCAATTTCCAATGTCACACTATTAGAATAAGATCCCTTAATAACCTATAAAGCATTAAGTTTCTCCTTCATCAAACTCCTTTTGTACTTGATCTTAGCCTACGAATGCCAACCAACCCAAACACACACAACAATAAATAAGGAGTGAGAATACATCTCATCTATGTATAGTACATATGAAGTGTAAGACTAACGATAAGTAAACACACATCATATTTAAACTTCATAAATGCATTTGTATTCATCCCCAATCGT